GATGTTTTTTGTTGGAGTTTCTGGATCAAACTTGACCTGATTTGTACCGAGTTGGGTCATGACTACAAGTTTGACAGCAATAGATTGATCTACTAATAATCTGATCGTGTTGTTGATTGTATGCATGTTGGTAATCCGTTGCAGATTGATACGGAATGTGACCAAAATACCACAAAGTTTATTGAGTGTGCACATTGCATTCGATGCAAAACGCAATAAACAAATGCGAGTTGCAGCATTCATTCAAGGTTTGACACCAGTCGATACAGCATTGACCACAATGGTATTTATGTCAACAATTGCACGACTACGGAATAAGTTGATTGTTGCTTGGCATTCCGTATCGACAGTCTGCATGTGTGTGCAACGTGCTGTTGTCACATATGAACAACTTGGATTGACTTTGTGGACAAAACACAGTCACTGTTGCGGTGATGTCCACAGTCGTGGAAATGGTTTCGAATACCACAACTGGTATAACAACTGCATGTGTTGGTGAGCAACCAGAGTCCAGTTTGACCAAGATCTGTTCCAGTAATGATCGAATGACACTGTCGTGTTTGGTCATCATGACAACAATGTCATTGATTTGACTCTGCAACTGACCAAATGCGCTAGTCACAGCGATCAGATCAGTTTTCAAGGATACAGCTTGCATGATGAGGTATTTGACTGTTTGTCGCATTTCGTCCATCAATGTGAAAAAGTCAACGTTTCCAATCGAGTTCATATTACCTCGAATTGCCCTGCCAGTAGTTTGGACCAGACTGATACCACGCAAATTGTTGGTATGCGTGTACACTGACAAATCGCTGTTGATCAATCGCATGCACACAGATCCAACTACATATACCAGTCGAGTTGCATCAAACGCAGATGCACTGTTTGAATCAATCGAGAACATCTCACATTTGTCACGGATGCATTGGGTGGTCGAGTAAACGGTACTGGTTGATTGATGCGGTGATCTTGCCATGTTTTCAGCAATCATGAGTTTGGTCCAGTCACCACTGCAGAGACTGCAAACACTGAACAGGATCTGGTTGAGCACCGTGATTGGGTTTTATTTTTGACTGTAATGGATGTTTTGTTATCAACGATTGTTAAACCAGAAATTTGTAACTCGCGCACATACTCAGACACTGATAGAATCCCTCAGTGATGACATGGGCTGCCACACTTTTGATCTATCAGCTTTTCCAGGAAGCTTACTGCTTGTGTACATCATCTGGTCAGCCTGCCAAATATAAATAGTTGACACATACCAATAAATAAAACATTAGTCAGCCATAACTATACAGTTGTATCAATCAAGCACATCTTGTGCAATTTCAAAGCTAAACCCAAGATTTACACTAATACAACCAACTTACTTTATACCGAGTTTCAAAAGGCGGTTTGTCACACGCCAAAACCCGTTTAGCATAGCTGTATGACAGCATAGATGCTTGAGCATCGGTATAATGCTCAACGGGTCCTGATGAATGGCCAGTCACTGCTGAATCTGGTGCAATGGACTCTGCAGTATATATGGTTGATACTGTAAAGTCACATTGCTTTCCAGACTGCAGTATCCTAGCTGCCTCAATCAGGGACGAGACTATAATGTAAATGTTTTAAAACAATCCATCAGTCAATATAATCAGTATAGTTACCATCAACACACTACAGCCTAAACAATCCACAATACATGCATTCACATCCAAAACTCGTGAGAAATTGATACAAAAATCACACACTTACTTGGTGAAGCAGGGATTCTTGGATCATTGATTGTACTGATTGTACTGATTGCACTGATTGGGCTGGATGTATACATATCAGTATATATGTTTTCCTGATTTGAACTAGTCAATCACAACATTACAAAATTATGCACAAACAACAGTAAAAGTTTAAAGTAGCATTCAACCCATTGTCCCATAAATCAAATTAGGCATCAACCAATTCAATCCCAAATAATAATCAACCAGCACATCATACCAACCAACACAAATCACAATTGATACACATTGAATGACGTTCAATGACATTAGATAGCATCAAAAACAGTCAAAATCATTACCATCAAAGTCGCGTAGTCGGAGTCGAATCAACAAAATTAAATTCGGTAACGTTTCGAGTCCATCCCAAAATACCGTAAATGCAATCATCAAATCGTAAATAATACACATGCAAGTAAACAGTCATGTTAGCAATGTGTTGTGTAACCAAAATACAATATTCAGATGCACAACTATAATACAAATACTGTGCTGCATACCTTTCTGGATTCATGCTTGCTTCGGCAAGGTGTGGTGCATTTTCACAAGCATTGGTTGGTTGGGGAATAGTGTTTTGCACACTACGGCAAGACTGTTTTGGATAATCAGCCGATAAGATGTTGAGACGGGACCACAGTGAATTCATTATTGGTGTTGTAGGGTGTCAGGAAATGAAGATGGAAATGGAAATGTAAAACGAGTTGATCTCGAAACTTGATAACAATAATATGGGTAGCAGTTGTAATAGTTGCAATAGTTGCTGCAAACTAATACGTTCAAACAAGTAGTGTGTATGACTGTTTAACAAAATACACAAGGGAAACAATCAGATCTGAGATTTGGATCAATAAGTGGATAGACAAGTAAGATCTTGATCAGAAAGTAGGTAATGGTGTCGGATCTGGACAAACGATGCACTATTTAACTGAAACAATTGACATGCGAATCCCCGACAAGCCAAACTCTCAGCACGTAATAATCAAATACATTGCAAAAACGTCCCGTAATAATCAAACCATCATCAATTAATTCGTTATTTTACCTTGAATCCCAGACTCCGCACGCATCGACCTCGTGGAATCGAGTAACACAAACTAGCTGCATTAATGCATCAACACATAATACTTTGAGTTGATTGGACCATATCATCATCATCCCTCCGACTCTGACGGATCGGGGATCTATGTGCTAGCTTGAAGTGTGTGGGGTGGCTGGGTAGTGCGGTGAACGTTCCCAATAGTCAATCCATGTACGATGGACAATGCGTAATGCTGTGCTGCTGACAACTCCTGCAGCGGTCATGGCTGATGATATTAGATTCGTTTGTACTGCAGTTGATACTGCACAACCATCTCATACAACTATGCCAACCGTATGCTGTAATGTGGTCATGTATTGTGTTTGACTGTCTGACTGTATATGTGATAGGCAGATCTACTCGATTGAATAGTGACCAAGATCTACTCGATTGAATAGTAACCAAACGCACTGCATGTTCATACTTGTAGACGTCTAGTACGACTGTAGTGGTTGATGGTTGTGTATGACTGTAGTGACGAGTCTGTTCACACGATTATTGCATGATACTCCAACTGCATCGAATACAAACTGCTCAAGTAGTCTTGAACGCAGTGACACCCGGTTCAGCTAGTTTACATGAGCAAGTATATCCACACATCTTCCGTATAATCTGTGCAACACATTGATGGTATACACAGATCCAGTCAGTCAATCTACACAAATCTGCACATTTTTACGCGTCTGAACTGCAACTCTTCACTACTACCTAAAATACATTGGTAATGCATACCAGACAAACAAGGTTTCATGCATTGCTAAAATCAAAATAGTACTACTGGATCTAATCAATACACTAGGTTAGTAAATACAACCCACGTAAATGTCTGTTTGGTATTCATTGCATGGATCAAATATACTGAAAATACAAATGTCTGTTATTCTGTTTGACTGGAAAATCAAGCACGCTAATATCAAAATACTCTCTTCATCTGATATACCCATAACATATATGTCATCAACTCAACACTGGTGATATTATGACATTGGTAGAAACCTGTCCTTTCAACTTACTGCTGATGGATTATCAAATCATTGAATTTTGAACAAATCGTTGGATTTGGTTCAATAGCAAGTCATAGTATACGAGCAACCGATGTGTGCATTGTCGACAGTTGAATTGGATATGGAAACGGACCTAGTCACTGTTTTTCTGATAGCTTTGAAAGGCTGGCAACATCAACACTCACCACTGACCAACCTCATGTGCTCCAACTCACTATAAAATGTAGATCTACATATCAAAGAGTATAGTCGACCATGCTTCATTCCAAATACACAACAGTTCAAAGTAGTTTGATGATAGCCAAGTAAAATACAACCCCATATGGACAAGACAGCTTTGTTGGACAGTTACCATTGTCTAGATGATGCAAGACCATAATATTGCCATTTACACTTCTTTAGCCACAACTTGCTGAATTTGGCAACTCGTGCAACCCGCGCAATTTCAAAATCAGATCATTGGATTAAATTGGATTGGATTAAATTAAATCGGATTGGATTAGCTGTTGTATCATTAAAATGTAACTTGACAGTCTCAGAATTCAGTATTGGCCAATTCATACAAATCTGCTCATCATTTACCCAAACAAGTCGATACTAATGATTTTAGATTCATCATGGTCGCAGGCTATTCATAATGCATCACACGTGAAGTTCCATAAATTGATTTCAAAGCTAGTTTAGATGCATCAACCCATTTTAAACATTAATCAATGTCATTTCAAACATATCCTAAAATGAATGGTGCGGATGCAGAGCCATGCCACAGTTGAATGTGCTCCTACCATACCATTTCCTGTAAAACAAGTATCTGTGTATAGACATGATCAGTGGCCATGTATTACACCCATTCCAGCATCAACTATTGAGTCATTGACACCATTGACACGATTATCTAGCACCACATCATTGTAAACATATTGTGCAGTACCTAGTCGTACACATGGAACATCAAATGCAATCCCAGTTCACTCTGACATACTCGTATTCAAAGTTGGCAGCAAACAAGTCATTACATACATACTGTCAAACAGCAAATACCTTGGTTTGAATTGTCGAGGGCACTACACTATCGCGACATCAGTGACACCAGTGACATCAGTGACTTGAACCAGATCTCATTCAGCGCGTCGATGGATGCATTTGGTATTGATGGTATGGAGGTGTTTGAATCTGGCGATGATTTATCAACTCAACCCATACATTATTCGTTGCGCTAATGTTATACCGTATCCAGCTAGGACATGCATAGTGTGTCAAACGAGATCAATGTTCCGTATGGGGATCCGAGTCAACGTTTTCCACCCATGACTAGTTCAAAGATCTGGATGGTTCAACATACACTAACATGGAGTGTCGAGTTTGAACAATATGTAGACTCAAGTCCGATCGGAGCTGCGTTGACGTGACAAGGTAGACAATCTGATGAATGATGGAATGTATAATATCGAGGTTCACAAATCCAAAATTGGAGAGATGGTGAAACACGTTTGATTGTATCACTCGGATGCCATGTTTAGTATTCAACATGAGATTTTGACTAAACTGCGCTCAGATGTAGCACGTTCAAACCAGCACTTGCATTCAGCACAACAATTCAATACTATGCAACGTATTCAACACAGATCGGTATGATCAAGAGCATGTCAGTGATGAATGAGTGAATGCTAGTGATGAATGCCAACGTGTATCAACTTACAACCATGATGTGGCATCACAATAACTCGACAGTGCGTATCCCAGACACTACTGGACAAAATGCATTGAAAACACCCCAAATATTGCAATCTACCTACACAGCGTTGGTGGATTATCTGTCACTGAATTTGGAGCATAAACTGGCAACTATACATGCAAATATGCATAGACTGATAGTCCTGCAACCAAGTTCCAGATGCCAATTCAAATATGTACTTGGATAGTCAGGGGTTGTAACACGATCATTTATTCAAATCGCATATATACACACATGTTATTGTTGAATGGCAGCAATATATAATGTCTCACAATAACGGGATATTGCTGGCATTGGATACCGTACCACAGTCGCTGTCTCGTGTGGTCAAACCGTGTGTAAGCTCCATGTATATATCATCACATAGATTGAATACAAACCATGATAATCTGGAATTACAAACTGTTTCACTCAACTCGATCCGACTCGGGTTGACTCGAACTCAAAAGCCATTTGATTATTGCATGACATTAAATCAATTGCAATGGAGGCTGCAACGTATGGATCAATCACGTCACCAACAGAAACACCAAACGCAAATCAAATGGCCAAACAATGATACAATATATACAGATATTCATAATGTGAATAAGCAAACATCGTGTAGTAACAAATTATGGACTGAATATATATAGTAACAAAACTGGTTATTTATGCGATAAAATATATCACTGATCATATTATAGTTGATATGGTGTATGTCGTTTTACATCATATAGCTTTTACACTAATGGTAATGGTTGTCACAATGGTGTCAACACTATGCTTGAAACACTAGAACTCTCAATCCCAACAGTATTGTGCTGCCTGACTGCATTTATGGTGTCAATCAGTAATGTATTTGTATTGATCATGACTTGTGTGCAGTGATCTGGCAATATCGTGATGTATGGTATCATGATCAATGTAAAACCATTACTTGATCAAACACGGCAATTGTGACTGATTACAATCTATAATTGGATGTGGAATACAATCACAATCACAATTGACAGGATATTGGGTGACTATGTGTACAATAGCCATTGTTGGTAGTTCAATCAGGATATACACCTTGTTCACACAGCAATACTGCATGTTGCTGGTTCACTCCACATCAATATGTATACATGAAGTTGACAATCATTGACAAATTCATGTCCTAAATTCACAATATTATGTTTTAAATGACAATAATGTAAGCCAATGCACATTTTATTTATTCGGTAACTGAGATTTGATAAACTGTTTGTACTGGTCCACAAAAGAATCACCAAAAAAATGAGTCGCAAAATCAGAATCCAGATCGACACATATTATGTAATTGTCTCCGTCCTCACCACTTTTGAAACCAGATTTCATTGATGGCGCTGTATATGGCAATTCAAATCGCATATGAATAAATCGTAACTCATTGATTTTCACTCTGCATTGATCTTGGACTGGGATCTGCGACTTGTACCAATTTTTAGGATCCATTGTTTCAATATTCTTCCTGCATTCATTAACGCCAACGTACATTGCTGAATCGGAGCTTCGCGTTGATGTCGTTTTGATATTGCAGCTGAAAACCGAGTATCGCAAATCAGGTCCAGCATTGGCCGGTGGAAAAACAATATGCGGAAAGTTGGTTCTACGAAGTTGTTGTACAAACATATTGACATTCGATTCATTGGTGCGACAATCAACCATTCCAGTAGGTCTTTTGATATTCAAATCTATAGCCCATCGAGGTAGATACTCTCTCAGCTCAGGTTGTAACCACCAGCCTTGTATGAATCGGAGAGCAATTACATACTCCATCATATGTCCCCTTTCTGAACGTGACAAGTTTGGTGCTTTTACAGGTGAAAACAGTTGATTGGCAAAGTAGTCCATTAATACTGAAGTCTTTTTGTCTGCCAAATAGTTTAATCCTGCAGTAAGAACAATGGGTTCTGTCATTCTAGCGTGCCATCCGTCAATCACTTTTGAAACCATTACAAGACCTGTTTGAACCAAATCAAGCTCTGGCGAATACGACATACTCGAGCCATCACCAAACAAAAACGAGATACACAATTTGACAAGTATCTCCGATACCGATTTGATTTTAACGGGACAAGAGTTAGCCTTTTCAATGGATTCGATAACCCGGCCAATTCGGTCCTCCCAGAAACAGTAAAATGATGAATGGGGCGAATACATGCCAGATTTTGTTGTCATTTCTTTTATATAACCACGATAACAGCCATCGATATCAGTCGAGTCGACCAATTTGTGTAGGAACGAAGTAAGAAGCCTCGGGCGACCTTGAAGAGACTGTGAGATTTCTTGAAGGTCAATATTCTTTGACACATCGATAGTAGTTTGAAAATATCAGACGATTTCAAGTAGTTGAAGTCGGTGAATATCAACATATTATCTGGTTTGAGTTCAGCAGCAGAGTATGTCAAATCCATAATGCAGATCCGCATTTGTGTTCCGCGCCATATATTGTTGAAGTCATCTTGGATAATAGTTCTGGTCAAAAACGAAAACAGCGACCGAGGAGAATCAAATTGTCCAGCAGTGGTGGATTGTTGATGTGGTTTTGTTGAACGATAGCCCGACTTTAAAAGATTTAGCATATGTTGCGATTCGTCAAATATAACACGACCGTCTTTTAGGAACCATGATTTCAACTCTTGATAGACTTTACCAAACGCAGACCAAGGAAGCTTAGATAGATGTTTGAATATTTTACAAAAGAGTACACCAGTTTGTATACTTGTTTGAATGCATAACCATGTAAAAGGCTTGAGATCGGGATTTGTTTCACGGAGTGTTTTCAGAACAAAAATACGAGCAGAAATCAAACACTGGATCAGTCTTTTAGATTGGTATTCAAAGACTGCTTGATTCTTGTCCGTCTTTTTGGCAGGTGCCAACTGTGCCAACTTCTCAGTCATCGCAGTGAAATCAGAATCAATCGAGCAGTCGAAATACAGTCCCCAACTACGTCGACATAGATCGTAGCAGGTTCTTGTCTTTCCGCATCCACTGACACCGATCATGGCAATGCTTCTGCCTTTGATCTTGCACAGCCTGTCGACCGGCATTTCGATCCCAATTTCCTTTTCGTCGGAATATATCTTTTCCGAGTACAGGAAATTGGGAACGCCGTCAATGCCTTGAATATCAAGGTTTAGGATTCCTTGGTCCAAAGCAATGTTCTCCATCGAGTCTTGAGTGGAAAAAACAGTTTTGTTTTCATCCAAGCTTATCAGTTGATGAAGATTTTTGTAAACGGCTTCTGGATTAGGGCCTTCAATGTTCATGACAGTGTCTATTGTTGATGAAAATACAATAATGAGTTTGACTATCCATAATATGGTTGATTTCATAAAAGTACAATACCTTGAGTTTGACCAGCCATACGACTGCTGGACTTGATGACAAGCGGTTGGTTGTAGGAACCAACCGGTTCCTGAATGGAGGTCAGGAGCACATCCCCAGCAATGGCTGGACCATCCACCACATAATGGATGGTGAGCTCGTCAACAGGAATAGCACCAAGTTTTGATGGAAGTGCTTGTTTGACTGCTGCAACCAAGTCACCAACAGTAAACAGGGTTTGAAGCCAGACAAAAGTATTGGTGTTGAGAATATGAGTTCTCAAACCAACTGGCTGGTAGTCCAGATATTGAATGTAGAATTTCATGTTTTCCATTAGAGTTTACTGAAATAAAAGGAATAGAGTAGAAGAAAGAGTAAAAGGAAATGGAATAGAATAGAATGAAGTGAAATGAAGAAAAGAAAAGAAAGAAAAGAAAAGAAAAAATTGGACTTTAAATCCAAAATTTAATTGTTTGAAACAATGTGAAACAAATTCACACTTTGAATAGTGTTTAAACATTTGTCATGTGATTATTTGTATTGTTCAATCGAGTGTCAATTCAACTCAACAATTGATTACGTCATTCATATAATGACTCGAGTCTTTTATTCAACATTTTAATATTTAATTATTGTTAATCAGTCAATTGTTGGATTAGTAAATATGTTAC